AGCAGCAGTAACATTAGTCCCATGCAGAGAGCCGGCGGCTGGGTATGCTTTTGTTTTTGCAATTTTTGACGGATTTGCATATATTTGCTGTTGTGGGCTTAATGTTCGTTTGACTTGGATGTACCTATCAATACCCATTTGAGTCATTGTACGGGTTGTTGGATTAAGTAGGTCAACTTGCGCTGCGCTGCGATGCTTGACTTGGACTGGTTTGTGCGGGTGTGGGTGAACTGCGTTGTGAAACCGCTGTTCTTGCTGAAGGCGTGGTTGACGTCGTTGTTGTGAGAGCTGCGCTCACCGTTGTTACTGTGCTTGTTGCTAAGCTAGTGCTTTGTTGTTGCGTTAGAACAACTTGGTCTACCAGAGACATTGGCGACTGTGCATGCCAAGATGTAATGCACGAGGTTTGGGGGAGGGGGAGAACGATTAATCGCGATCAGCATTGTTTGTTGGGGAAACGAACGAAAAGTACGCATTTCGTCGATCAGCTGAATGCTTTCGGTCAGCTCTGTTGCGGAAAGATTTATTTCACCGCACTTGGTACTTATTTCACTATTCGGTAAGCGCGGTGGGCCGGAGCTGCTTTTATTTTATTGCATGTTGGCACATTTAGATGAATTTCTCGCGGCATTGCAAAAATTCGGAAAAAGTAGTTTATAATTATAAGCAAATAAGCAGAAAGCTTATTTATGCCTAGTATTGTCTTTTCGCGTTGGTTTTGTTCTTTTTTTCTTTGCTTTACGTGAATTATTAATTTCTCGGCGTAGCGACAAAAAAAACACATTCGAACAGGTTGACAGTCAATCAGTATTTTAATGCGAGCTCTATATATGCGTCCCCGCTTAGTTACCCAACTCGACTAAGTACCTAAATTTTTCGTATCCCATTTACAATTTTGCTTATAATTTTCCCCTTTTAAGTGCTCCCGCAACACGTTCGGCAAAAAAATTTTAAAAATTGAACGGTAATTTTAGTCACTTTAAATTTGCACATTATTACACTAAAATTAAATGAGAAAAAAGTTTGAAATTTTGATGAATTTTTATTTCAGTGCTCTACAAAATTTGAAGCTCAGGTTTAAGGCTGTTTGCAGCACTTAAGAAGTAGTTCCAATTTTTTCCTTTGGTTGATAATGTACCTTGCTTTTACCTACTTCCAGCTCTCAAAACAAACGAAAAATTCATATAAAATGACGCACAAGAAATGGAAAAGAAATTTTCTTCTATCAAAATTTCTTAAATCAGTTTGCAGCTCTCAAGAAAAAAATGCTCGTATATTTGTTTCTTCAAGAAAATTTACAGCAAAGGCAAAGTGCTTTTTAAAGTAAAAGAAATAATGAAAATTATTTCTTAAGAGCTGGATTCTAAGTTTTTGCTGTAAATTTTCTTGAAGAATTAGATATCCTAATATTTTTTTCTTGAGAGCTGCAAGCTGATTTAAGAAATTTTCATAGTAGAAAATTTCTTTACCATTTCTTGTGCGTTTTTTTATTTGAGTTTTTCGTTTTACTTGGAAGCTGTAAACAGTCCTTTATATAGTATTTGTTAGGGAATGAACTCTGTTTTAATTGAAATATCTTAAAAAATAATAAATTAACATAAGTGGCAAGCATCATTTTGAATTTGGTCCGATACGATAGATATGCCCAACACTGTATGTATGTATAAATATGTATAATCAATGTCCTTAAACAATTGACATAACATTGCTTTATTGACTTTTTTATAAAGTTTTTGTTATTTTTATGGCCTTATTAAAATTATATTCAACAGTTTTTATGAGCTTGAGGCCGTTTTTAGTGAAAACTTATTGGGGAAAAGCAACAATAATTTGAAAAAATGGTAGAAGTGATAGCTATTTCGGAAATCATCACATTTCCTAATCAGACTTATTTCAGTAGGATTCGAACCGACGATCGCCACTGACTCAGCCAGTTGCCTACGCACTGTGCTAAGGTTGCCTTGTTAATTCTAGTTGCTTATTTCCACTATTTCACTTTGCTAAGCCAACTACAATCAAGCGCAGCTATTCCGCTGCAATTCACTTGATGATGTGGTTGTTGGTTTTGTTGGTTTTTGTTAATATTTCTATTATTAGAATGTTTAACTTTTAGGTGTGCTCGTCCTTAAGTTATTTGTTTTTTGTTATTTTTATGGCCTTATAACAATTATATACAACCACTTTTATGAGCTTGAGGCGGTTTTAGTGAAAACTTATTGTGGAAAAGCAACAATAATTTAAAAAAAGTTCAGAAGTGATAGCTATTTCGGAAATCAGCACATTTCCTAATCATACTTCTTTCAGTAGGATTTGAACCGACGATCACCACTGACTCAGCTTGACAACAATTATTATCAACAATTTTTATGAACTTGAGGCCGATTTTAGTGAAAACTTGTTGCTGCTGCTGTGACGTTATTTCTGTCTATGGTTCTTGTAATTGCGAAATCTATTAGGTCTAGTATCTTCTTTATATCAGTGGGCCATTAAGTAGGTTTACCAGGAGATGTGACCTCTAGTCTATTGTGTCTGTTTATAATAGTATTGTATGACTGCCGCCCTTTTGGGTTAATAAGGCGTATGCTTTGCTAGCAGGCTACCAAGGAAGTCATTTTCAGAAATTAAAAATCGCGGTGGGCAATAAATAGCCGATAGATTCAAGTCGCGGTCGAAGTTTCGTAAGCATATGGTAGTTGTTCGCAGACAGGCTGTTAGTTTTGAGTCTACAATATTGTGCTTTAGGTGATTTCTAATCAGCACCGCTGTACCATCTGGGTGATTTGTTTCCAGGTATGGAGTAATTATATTTATTTGTTAGATGTGTCTCGGACAGAGCATACCATCTATGTTATATTCAGTGAGAACGCTGGTTAACACCGTTAGCGTTCCATAAGCAAATTTTCAACTCACTCATTTTTTATTCACTAAAACTTGCAGCAATTGGTTTTGAGCCTTTATGAGGTTTTGAATCATATTTTGCATAGTAGATATGAATAGAGTCATACACTGGGTAAGATTCAATATCACTCCTTCTATGCTACAAGCGGGGGGTTCGGCTGCATTTGCTCAGTATTATTCCTTTGAATATTTGCAAATTTTCTGGATTGGAGTTTGATTTCACCGTGCTTGGCTTCGTTGTTAGTTTTAATGCGTCGGTAAAAGAAACGGCTTCTGGTGTAAAGGTTGATGGCGTGAGGTGTTCGTATGTATGAGAGCTAGTTGGAATGGTGGAAGAGCGTACGGCTGTGTTGCGCTGTTTCATTCGAGACTTTCCCCCCTATTATGAATTTTCATACGATAGATGATAAACGCTTGCAAGCGTATCGTATGATATCAGTTATCGTATTATCGTTTTCATAGGCCCCGACAGATGTATTGTTGTGAATGGCTGTGGTTTTTGTTTACTTTTCATTGTGAACAAACACAAATCATCTACGCTTACTATCGGATTTCATACGACAACATCGATTCGTAATAGAGAATAACAGAATGCAAGCGTTTATCGTGCATCTTACGAATTCATAATATGGGGGTTTAAGTCTTTGTAATTGGCGGTGTGATAACCTCCGCAACTACTGCATTTCTTTACAACCATATCAGCTTTGATAGCCTTGCAGGAAGCTTAAACGTGAATGTCGCCACAGGCAACGCACACTGGACCCAAGGTGAAGTATGTTCTGGTATGCCCAAATTTTTGACAATTTGTGCACTGTACGGGACCGTTTCGCTTGTTGGGCTCGTCCACTGTTATTCTTCGGTGTAGAAGGTATCGTAAGTTGTAGATTGGGTGCACTACGTTTTTATTGATTGGCTTTGTTTCTGGCTGAAGTTCAACCTTAAACGTATGCTGAGCGATTTTTCCTCTGTTGATAATATTGACAATATTTTTAACAGCAAATCCTGCCTTCTCTAGAGCATGAGCAATAGCACAAATGGGTACACTTGATTCTATACCTTTTATTATTACTTGCAGTCCTTTGCTGCTTTGTAGCTGGTACTTTTAATTCAATTCGATTCAATTCAGTGTTTATTGAGTCTTTGATTACAAAGAATCTTACAGACTAGAATAAAATTATTAGGTAAAAAATTAAGAACTACACTAGGAGTACACAGATTCCATTAAACTTCTGAAAGACTGCCTACTAATAGAAAATTCAATATTTAAATTTTTTGAAATTGCATTAGGTTCATTAAGAGCCCTCCAAATCGGGGATTGAGCCCAATAATTAGCTTTAGCAGGGATAACTTAAAACGGCGGGACAAACAGCAATATTCTGCTCGGGACATTGAAACCGATATGCACAAGTAATTCCGGACAATCAATGACGCCAGAAATCAAGTCACATAAGGGAATGGACATGTCTTCTACACTCAAGAGAGTTTAAATCTATAAGCTTGCAACGAGCTATATAGGGTGGAACAGGGTCAGAGAATCGAAGCGGCTGAAGGGCAAACCGAATAAATTTTCTCTGGACACGTTCGATACGGAGTGCATGGCAATTATATATAGGGCTCCAGATAACCGAGGCATATTCAAGCTTTGAACGAACAAGAGAGTTAAAGAGAGTTTTCCTTGTATAGGGATCCTTAAAATCCTTCGCATGCCTTCACAGAAAAGCTAGGTTCCTGTAAGCCTTCGGAAGAATATGGCATATGTGATTAACAAAGGTGAACCCAGAGTCATTAACAGAAGGAGTTGTACATTTGAAATATAATAGTTAGTTAGAAAAATTTTAGATGCTTTAGCGAGGGTCATATGGAAGCATATCTTTATATTGAGGGATAACATATTTTTTTGGCACCATACTTCGAGATTGAACAGATCTTCTTGAAGTAACCGCGAGTCGGAGACACAATTGATTTTACGAAACAGTTTCAGATCATCGGCATACAGCAAGTAATCAGAGTTATTGAAACAGGACCCGATATCGTTAATAAACTGGATGAACAACAGCGGACCAAGCACATTGCCTTGGAGCACCCCCGAAGTAGCGGCAAATTGAGAAGACCTGCAGTTTTAAATTTCAACAAACAGGGTTCTATTTGAAAGATATGACTTTAACCAATTTAAGAAAACCGAATGGAAACCAATGCTTCTTAATTTACGATGCAATATTGAATGTGATACCTTATCAAAAGCCTTGGAGAAATCTGTATAGATGCTGTCCACTTGGGACCCATTTCTGAAAACAGGTATACAAAATTCAGAAAAAAACAGTTCGTTACGGTAGAACGACCACCGACAACACCATGCTGACGAGGATTCACGATACTTTTTAGGGCAAAAGATAGTTTCTTCATTACCACCTTCTCAAAAAGCTTGGAGCAAACAGTTAATTTAGAGATAGGTCTGTAATTAGAAACATCATTTCCAAGACCTGACTTGAAGATGGGAGTGATGGACACTACTTTCCAGCGCTCGATGAAAACACCTGAGCGAATAGAGCGACAAAATTTGATTTAAAAAACTCAGCAAAAAATTCGACAGTATCACTAATCGACTCAGAACACTTACCATTATAGTACATACAGGAAGGTATATTTGAGGAGCCCGATTTGGAACCGATGAAGCTCCAGAAGGCTTTGGGACTTTCCTCCAAATCAGACTCAAATTTACTAATATACTTGTTATAAAGAAATTTATCCAAGATGTTAAATTGTCTCATGAACGAGATATATTCAGCCTTGAGATTAACATTATCAAGCTGACTTTTATGTAGTTTATAATACTTGTTTCTTTTGTTTTTAAGATTCTTGAGTCTACTTGTGTACCAGGGTAATCTATGAATCCTAAGCGGCAGCAGCGGAAGATATTTAGAAAAAAGATTATTCAGTGTGCACACAAAATAATCAAAACACTCTGAGACGAAGTTAGAAATAAAAACAGAGTGCCAGTTGATTTCAGACAAGGCAATATCGAAAGCCTGAAAGTTAGCATCGCGGAAGTTAAAGAAACCAGACGATATTCCTTGCAGTGAAATTATCAAACATTTCCAAATAAATAATTATGTTAATAATTTACTAACCGGAAACCTACATTCCTCTAAGGTAAATATTGAATTTTCATCAACAAAGACAAGGTCAAGAATTTTAGACAACTTATTAGATAATGAATTAATTTGAATTAAGTTTAAACTAAGCAGACTATCCAGAAAATTTATCTCGTACGTCCTGTTTACGTGAGTTGGAGTCAGGAAACCATTTCTTTGTAGGTCGGACCAGACTATATCTGCAAGATTGAAATCGCCAAGAATGCAAAACGAAGATTCAGGATTCTGCTCACAAAGATCGACGATATTGTCAACATGACAGCTGTATAGATAGTCCGTACTATTTGGCGGTATATAGGATGTGCAAATGAATAATTTTCCAAGCGAACCATAGACACAAACTTGATCTATGAGAGTATCTAGGCGATTAGGACACCACCACCTTTGGAGTGACCAGTCTTCACCGGATCTCTATCCTTCCTGAATACATTAAATAAAGTTGGATTAAAATACTCTTCGTCATGAAAGTCAGCATTCAGCCATGTTTCTACAAAAACATAGACATCAAAGTCAACGCGCGACGTTGATAAAAATATCTCTTTGATTTTAGTCCGCATTCCAGACATATTTTGAAAATAAATTTGAAGACCCTTAGGGGCTGAGCTACAGTTGCCAGAATTCAAGCTATTTGTACGCTTCCGATGGGGCTACCCTTTGAAAAAAGCGGAATGGTCGGACATTTATACCAGAAGGCCAAACAGTAGCCTTCTTTATATCTTCATAATATGCATACGAAACTCCAAATTTGCAATTTATGCTTCGAAGCTTGTCTAAAGGTTCGTCTTTCTTAATAAGCTTGTGGCATGCAAAATGTTTAATGTCGATACCGGACTGTTTAGATACATACTCGATGATTTTATCAGTAGAAACGGACGGCTTAAAAGCGGATACTTCATTTTTACGATTATGTCGAGGTCAGCGTTTTTATTTCGACCAACCACAACCTGTTTACGTTTCGGAGTTTTCGTCTTATGAGGCACAGTTTTCCAACCATTCGAGCCAGAAAAAACCGCAGGCTCTGAACCAGCATCAGGCACAACATCAATATCAGCATTCAAAGAATTAACATCCACGTCGGCATCAACAACAGCGCCAGCAGCAGTCATAACAGAGCTGTTAACATTAGCTTTAATTGAGTTAGTACCGGCAGCAGCAGCATAGGTAACATTGGTATAGAGCGCCATGCGCTTAGCAGACCCATTGGGGGGCAGAGCAGCATTCGATACCGTGCACTTAGTAGACGGAGCAGATGAGGGAGTTTCTGTTGGTGTAGGTAAACACTGTTCAGCATGAGCAGCAGTAACATTAGTCCCATGCAGAGAGCCGGCGGCTGGGTATGATGGAAAAGAGCGTAAAAGAGATTGATTTTCATTGTGAATCATCTCCTTACATTTGTTAACAGTTGTCAACAATGCTGCGAAGGCTTTTTATCTCCGCAATCAACGATGATACGTCGGCATCTTTTTCGTTTAGCTTAGTTTGCAATACACGAACTTCTACATGAAAATCATCACTTATCTTTATTAGATGCATTTTGTCTTCATGCAAAGCACCTAGCAAACACAAGATACGAGCATTTTCTGCCCTGAGAGCAGAAAGTTCTTTAACCGCAGTTATCAGTGTAGATTTGAATTGAAAGTCATGCTCAGTAGCGATTTCACTTGAGAGAGTCTGTATTAAGAGCTTCTTTAGCACTAGTGCTCCCACCCGAACCAGCGGGTGTGGAAGAGCAGCGGAGAGATGAACGACGGTCATCCGTACAGTTTTTGCAAAGAAACGGCTTATTAGATGAGACTAAGAAGTCCAGACCGGCTTGGAAAATACCAACACATTTGAGGTGAAAAAGTTTTTACACCCGGCACACTGCACTTTAGATTGTGTACGATCAACTTTTTGACCACAAAGACAAGGCATTGTATGAATATTTTTACATTTAATAAATATTGAGTCAGTGAAATTCACATTATTAAGAGTCACTATCTCAGTATATTATGAGTTTTGCACTAACTAAGCGAATCAAAAATTACAAAGAACGCTTAAAAAGCCAGATAAACGCGGAGCGAAGAAAAACACGTCTGAACTGCAGTAGCGAAAACTATTTCTTACTTATAGAAGTTTTTCTTATCGTCATTAAGGTGTTTGGTTACCAACCGGTAATTTTCTTCAGTTAGAATCTGAAGTTTGGTCTCTTTAATGTTGCCCTTGGTAATTGACGTTACGTGGAACGTATTGTCTGTAATAAGCTGAATTAATTTATTCACGAGGTCATTACAGGTTTGCTCTCGTAATTAAATTAGGGGCGGTTTGAGTTTGGCTTTGGAAACTTCATTCGGCTCTTTGTCACATTCATTGTCCAGAATCTTATTACTTATTTCCAGTAGAGGGTTAATATCAGTGGTTTTCGTTTTTGCAATTTTTGACGGATTTGCATATTTTTGGTGTTGTGGGCTTAATGTTCGTTTGACTTGGATGTACCTATCAATACCCATTTGAGTCAATGTACGGGTTGTTGGATTAAGTAGGTCAACTTGCGCTGCGCTGCGTTGCTTGGCTTGGACTGGTTTGTGCGGGTGTGGGTGAACTGCGTTGTGAAACCGCTGTAATTGATGAAGGCGTGGTTGACGTCGTTGTTTTGAGAGCTGCGCTCACCGTTGTGACATTGGCGACTGTGCATGCCAAGATGTAATGCACGATTTTGGGGGAGGGGCAGAACGATTAATCG